CAATTGAAGGAAGAACGCCTTCCTCAAGAGTTATGTGATGTGTACATAAAGCGGGGCTTATACCTTTGACGTCATTAATGGTATATTCCAAAGCACCTTGGTGCCTTCTGAAAACATCAAATAACTCTTGCGATTGGCTCTTGCTCAAAGATGCACTAACAATCACGGGATAAGTAGAATTTGGGCCTAAGAACTCATACCTAAGATGTGATGGTAAAGGTTTGAGCTCCATCGTTGGAACACCTTTATCTTCTTTTGTTAAAGCGACTTGCAAAGTTTGACTGAATTTGGAGAAATGCAAGTTTCAAAAACAAAAGTCAAAGTATCGGTAGGGATGAAGAATGATTCAGAACGTTCTGCGATCCTAAATCATTCTTGTAACGCCGATACCTGCTAACTAGCGTTAGTAAAAACAGATAAGAGAGTTAAGAAACGCGTATCTTTCACGCCGAGCACACGTCTCTGAGCGTAACCGATTTGTTGCTGTTGCATTGCTGTTGTTGTGATAACCTTCCACAAGCTAGGGAATGTCATCTTGCTACTTTGATGTTCACTTGTCTCTGAACAAAAGAGCTTCTTCGAAGATTGTTCACTCGTCTCTAAACAAGGAGCTTCTGAATGATGCTTCCACACGTCTCTGAACAAAGAGCTTTGAATGATGTGCCCACGCGTCTCTGAGCAAAAGAGCTTCAATGATATTTCCACGCGTTTGTGAACAAAAGAGCTTGAATGATATGTCCACGTATCTCTGAACAATAGAGCTTCTTTTTGATGATATGTCCACGCGTCTCTGAACAAAAGAGCTTGAAAGAAATGTCCACGCGTCTCTGAACAATAGAGATTTGATGATATGTCCACGCGTCTCTGAACAAATGTGCTTGAAAGAAATGTCAACGCGTCTCTGAACAATAGAGCTTTGATGATATGTCCACGCGTCTCTAAACAAAAGAGATGTTTTATGTGTCTACACGTCTCTAAAGAAAGAGCTTGATGATATGTCCACGCGTCTCTGAACAATAGAGCTTGAAAGAAATGTCCAGCAAGACCCCTTGTGAACTAATGCCCTGAAACTTGTAGTCACTAGATAGCTTGCTAAAGCTTTTTTGCATGAGCTCCATTTGTTGTTGCTTCACAGGGTCATCAATTTTGAGGGTTAAAGCCTTCAATGCTTTAGTCACGGTAGTCAATTGATTCCTAAGTTCGTTGACTTCTTCTTGAATTGCCATTATCTTCTTAGATTTCCTCTTTTGAAGAATCGGTTTATCAAAAAGTAAGACTTGAACAAAGTTGTTGTCCTTGATTAATCGCCCTTCTCTCCTTGACCAAGTACTGTGGAAAGGGGAATTAGGGATATTTATTGTCAATTATTTGACTCAACTCTATTCAACATGCATATATGGAAGAAGGGAAGAAGAATGAAGGTTGTGATGTGAAGAAATATGATGTAAATGGAGGGATATGAAGAAATTAGGAATAGACTGTACCCCCAACTTAAATGACGAAATGAACCGACTCATGCATGAAGCTAAGACATGGTCATGGTGACATACACTAAAAGTGCGCGCTACGACTAGTGAGTGTAGGTGATATATTCAGACTCTTGTGTAAGACATGTGGCTAGACTATGTGACTAGACTCAATTAAGGACTTCACGAGGTATTATTATTAATAAAAATTAATCGAATTGATTAGCAAATTGTTCAATTAGGCACAAAGTGATGACTCAAGCATAATACCAACTATCGCCAGAGCAACAGGACTGTGCCACACTGTGTAGTGTAGCGCCATACAACAAAGTTGTCGCCAGGCGCTGCAATCCAAATCGCGGTGCTATTGCTAGAACGTTGATCTGGAACTGCTTTCGGTATTAATACTTTACAAGGTATGCCTAAAGTCGTACTAAGTCACCTCTGTTTAAATTATTAGACTTTAATTACTCAAAATTAATTAATTAATTAAGCAAAGTTCTTTTAGTCATTAATAAGTTTATTTAGTATTAACACAAGTCAAACAAACGATTAGGAAAAACACATAGAGTATGCACAACAAATAATACACAATTCAAATAGGCCCAATATGATGCAATGAGTTTGCAACCTAACCATGGCTCTAGCTCTCTAAAGTTCGGGATATTGGTTAGTTAAAGAGGGTCCATGGTTAATTGTCCGGATGCACCGCGCGAAAGCCTAATTGTGAAGGTTAGGCGCGAGTGGATGGGACACTGCGAGTTAAGAAAAACTCGCTTCCATGGTTTGGTGAATTCAACATTCTCGGATGTACCCTTTGTTGCATAGAGCATTCAATCAGGTAGATGGAGCATGAATTCCCAGAGGGTTATGTCCATATGTAGAACACATATGGGTTTCAGAAAAGTGATAAAAACTCAATCAGAAAGTAGGATCGAGCAAACAGTGTTAAAACTGGTCAAAATTAGAACGTATATTTTTGGCTCGGTATTGGAAGAACTTGGCGCCAACGAACAGAGGCCGGCGCCAACGATTTGGCTTTGGCGCTTAGAGACAGAAGTTGTCGCCTGGCGCCAGAGTCAAATCAGTGGCGTTAGACTTTGTTTGTTGACGCTAGTTCCTACATTCTTCAGCAGCTTTCTGTGCTCGATAAAATTTTCCAGTTTCGCGCAGCATTATTTCGATCCTAGTTGTGAAAGATATTCCTAAAATTTCCTACATGTAAAAATCCTATGTTTTTAACTCATTACGGATGGTCTTTCCAATGAGATCTTCTTTCTGCATACGAAAATAATGTTAATCAAAATTACACAAATGAAATACTTAGAACTTTTTGAGTCTCATCCACTCATTCTAAATCGTTGCCAAAATAAATTTCAGGAATTAAAATAGAAATCTTCCCCAGTGGAGTCGCCAAATACTGTAGGGAATATTTCAAGCATTACCCCAAACTTGAACCCCACTGTGACCATACACTTAAGCATGGTGGCGTCCAAAGGGAAATAAGATAGAGCAAAAGATTCGCCAACAAGTTTTAGGAACTTGTAAACCGTTCACAGGGTGAAGGTTACACCCCTTAACAATCTAGGAGATAGTCAAGTCCAATAGGTCTACAACCATGACTGGTAGTTCGGGGATGAAGGTACAAATCCAACCTAAAAGAGATTGAACCTGCCCTAATAATAGGCCTCTACTTTATTCCGATTGTATTCATGTGCGCTTTCTAACTAAAATGCAATCAATAGGTTTACCCTAAACCTGTTTATCTATGTTGGTTGAATATTAATGCAAAAATAAATCTATTATTGGCAATCAGTTGAATTATAATGCTATTAACCCTAAACAAGATTATTAATTATCTTATATAAGCGTGATTACATGTACCAATTCCCTTTAAACATGCATAAAAGGCGTGATCAAGCAATAACAATAAATATAACAAGCAACATAATCATAATTAAAAATAATAAAAATAATCATTATAACAATAATAATCAAATCATGTTAAAGCATAATAATAGCAAGATCCTAGGCATGATACTACCAAGATTAATAACAAACCCTAGCATTTCACTAAACATCAAAGATTAAATATTTAGCCCTAACATGATACTAACATGATATTAGGAAGATAATAGGAAGCATTGCAGGAATCACAGTTGTCATATTTGATATTAGAAATTATAGTTGTTACTCTAAACATGATACCAGGAAAATTATAACGCCCTAACATAACACTAGGAATCACAACAAATTAGACATGATTTCTGTATCATAATATCAATAAACCAATTAAAGCACTTACTTGGATGCCTCGTATCTCTTTCTAATAACAAAATACACACGTTAGTAACTTCAAGTAAAATAATAAAAACAAACAATATAATTAAATTAAATAATTTAAATAGAAATTTGGGACCAAACCCTCAGAAATTAAAACATTTCACGTCTAGGGCAAAGGCACCTTCGAACTTGGCTAGGTGTTTCTAGATCTTGTGAATGCGGAATTTTGTATGCGAAAAGCTAGAAGGAAAAGAGATCTTGAAAACTAGAGAGAATAAGAAAAATAGAGAGAATTGATAGTTGTTGATGAGAATTGTTAATTGAAAACGGAGGTTTTAGGAGGCTATTTATAGAGAAAATCAGCCGGACGGATAGAAAACAAATCAGAGTTTCGACGAGAATAAAACACTATTGGCGCCAAACGCAGGACATTAGCGCCAAGGCGCTGAAGGTTATCACCATGCGCTAATAACTGGCGTCAGGCGCTAATAGCCGGTTTCACACGTTTTCTTAATTTTGATAAAATTTAGCCGTACATAAGGGAAAAATTGTATTTTCCTTGAAAACACTTCTTTTATTCTGATTAAAACTCTAAAAAAGTCAACTAAAGTCAATTTATCAATGCTAATTAAATTAGGAATGAAAAGAACCTTCTAAAATAATCTAGAAGACTAAAATCAATTCTAATTGCATTAGGAATGATAAATCAATATTAGGCCCTCCTCTAGATCATTGGGCCACATATAAATATCACACCGGGCCCAATTTAGTAATTTGGCCATAACTTCCTCAGTATTCATCGGAATTGGACTTATAATATATCATTGGAAAGCTTTTTCAAGCCCCATTCAACTACACTATTATTAAACCATTTCCATGGACCAAACCAAACTTGATTGGCTGTTTTCTTAAAATAGTCTTTCAAAAACAGCGAGAAAGAAAAGAATTAAAAACTATCCGCAACACTAGACTTTCCACACTTTCACTTCATTCGATTATGATTCGACACGAAAGGTACTCATCACTGGGTTTGGTTTTGGGGAGACATAAATGGGTGTCTACACAAAGCTTCTTTGCTTGAGATGTTCATGCACAATTGCTCATCACTTCATTCCAAGCTCTCATTAATGACTCTTTCAAGGAAAGCCATTTCTTTGCCATGATCACCTATATTTTCTTTGTTCATCAAAACACACTAAAGAGGATAATTAGAGGTGAGCCTGTGCTCTTGCATGGAGTTCACAATATCATCTAAAATTTGATTCTCATATAATTCTCCAAAGATGAAGAAGGGTATTGCATACTCTCATTTAAATCAAATTCAATCTCTTCTTCTCCTACCTTTACAGTAATTTTAGCACTCTTTACATCAGTCAAAGCTCCTGATGTTGCAAGGAATGGTCTACTAAGAATGATGGGAATGTTGGAATCTTTGTCCATATCAAGCACAACAAAATGTACCGAGATCACAAATTTCCTAACCCTTAAGGGAACATCCTCAACCTTACCTTTTGGGATTTTAATGGACTTATTGGCTAATTGTAGGGTTATATTGGTATTTGAAAGTTCTCCTAGATCAAGTCTTTGATAAACCGAGTATGACATAAGGCTAACACTAGCTCCTAGGTCACACAAGGCATTATCAATTTGTGTCTTGTTAAAAGCACAAAGGATTGGAAAATTTCTGAGATCCTTCAACATAGGTGTCATCTTGTTCATTATGATAGCACTACAATTTTTGGTCAAACTTATCGTTTCTTCCATATCACATGTTCCCCTACCACTCAAGATTTCCGTAAGGAATTTTGCATAATTTGGCATTTGGTCAATGACATCGGTGAAATGGAGAGTAAGATGAAGTTTCCTAAGCATCTCTATAAACTTGCCAAATTGTTCATCTAATTTGTGTCTATTAAACTTTTGGAGGTATGGGAGGTTAGGCTTGATAACTTATCTCACTTTTTCTTTTACTTTCTCAACTTGTTCCTCATCAACTCTCTCAACCAATGAAATCTCATCTCCCTCATGCTCAATATGATCCTTGCTAGGGCTCTCCTTCGCATCACTCTTCTTAGAAACTCCACTCTCAAGAATCCTGCCACTCCTAGTCACAATTTCACTCGTAGGACTCTGAGGATCAAAGCCTTGTGAAGTAAAAGAAGAAAGATTAGCAAACTCTTTTAACATACTAGCCAATTGAGAAATTTAGTTTTCTAACCCCTTACTATAAGTCATCATGTCATTAATATTCTCATTACTAAGGGTTATATGAGAATTCAACACCTTGGTTTGGTTCTCAATGACATCCTCTAACCAACTCCTAGATGAAGAAGGTTGATCATACAAACTATCACATTGGCCTTGGGTCTTTGGAATAAATCCGAGTGGGGTACCTCTTTGAGCATTGTTTTGAAAATTCCCCCTAGTTTGATTACTCCAATTACCCCTAGCTTTATTTTGGCCATGATTTTGATTATGGTTACCATAACCTTGGTTATGAACCCATACCCTTGGTCGTGACTTTGACAATTATAACTATGGTTGTTATAGTTACCACAAAACCCTTGTGTTCTTTGGTTCCCATAACCACTATTTTTGCTATAATTATCATAGTTCCCATGGTTGTGATAATTTCTATTCTCAACATTCCTATGAACATCAAATCTAGGTCCAAAATAAATATAAGCAACATAATTCACATGATCACTCCCATTTCCATCAATTTAATCATTTTTATCCCATGAAACATTGGGGCAAAAAGAAGCATCATGATCATTCATTCCACATAGATAACAAAACCTACATTCACAAATCATACAACAAGAAGAGGGAAGAGTGTAAGGGTAAGGAGATGTACCTCTCCCCTTAATTTGGGAGGGAAGAATTTGTGCTCGTGAAGTTGCACTCTCGAGCTTAACCTTGATAGATACTACCTCCTTCCCTAAATCCGAGATTTGCGTGGACAAATTATTAATAGCATTGAGTTATTCAATTGAGCATCCCGTAGTGCTACTCTTGTTTGTCGGCTCTTTATCACCATCTTGTCATTCCATGTAGTGTCTAACTACATCCTCAATAATATCAACAACCTCTTCCTCGGTCTTGTTCATGATTGGGCCTCTGGCTCTGCATCAAAACATGACCTCCCTTGAGTATTCAAACCACTATAAAAAAAATTGAATGATTAGGTAAGTCGGGATTCCATAATGAGGACAGTCGCGTTGATACTCTTTTTATCTCTCCTATGCTTCATAAAGGCTTTCACTAGTGCCTTACTTGAAACCATGAATCAAAGCTCTTGCCTCCACCGTTTTCTTTTGAGGGAAGAAACGGGAAAGTAATTCTTTAGTGACTTCATCCCAAGTTCTCAAGGAATTAGGATTCACATCCTTGTCTAGCCACTCTTGAGCTCTTCCAATTAGAGAGAAAGGAAATAGCTTGAGCCTTATGAATTCTTTTGCAAACCCGTTCACCTTAATTGTGTTATAATATTTCTCGAATTTCTTAAGATGATTGAGGGGACTTTCATTTGTTCCACCACTATGTTGTCTCTTTTCAATCAAAGTTATCATTGTCGGCATGATTTCAAATTCACTTTTCGGGATTAATAATGCAGCGATCCTACGCTCGTACTTGTATGCACCCAGAGTTCCCAACTCCTTTAACGTAATCCTTAGGACTTCTCCCATGTTCACTTCACACACAATCTTTAAAGGAAAGTATTAGTAGCACGGCTAAAAATGTAGCTTAAAATAGAAAAATCTTTTTGTATTTTCGGGATAAAGTGAAATAGACTCAACAACAATAGCAAACAACTTCACCATTCCCCGGCAACGACGCCATTTTTGACGCGGGTTGAGACTAGTTCGTTGAAACTAATCCTCCCACGGTCAAAACTAAATTTGTAAACACTTAACCAACCTAAACACTAGTATAGAGGCAAGTAAAGGGTTGAACCCAAGGGAATGGAGGGAAGCTAACTGTTTAGTGTAAAAATACCCTAGATACGTTGACCAATGAGAGAGGCCCACGAGTCAAGCTCTTGCAGGCCACCATAGGCCACTCACCAGCTGAAACGTGGCAATCTCAGAGAATAATCAGAATTGCGGCCTTCAAAGGCCCAATTCCCGAGGAATCCGCACTTTGCGGCGAAGCCCACATAACCTAGGTCTGAGTGACCTAGGGAGGGGCACTATTCCCAACCACCCTACAAATAGGGAGATATTCCCACATTTTGGGGACACATTCAATCATTTATTACACTCACTTTCTCTCTCATTAAAGAAAACCTGATCTCGGAATCCGAGAAGATCCCATTTAATTTTCCGTCCTTTTATCTCTTTTCAAGTTACTAACTTGACCTTCGGAGGCGGAGCTCCAACCACCCGGAGTCTCCGTTGCTTTGCAGGTATAACTCAGCCGGACCAATCTTTGGGACGTAACTCTCCTAAGGGACAAAAACACCCAAAACATTTGGCGCCATTTGTGCGGAGAGTACCTCAAAGATGGTTCAAGAGTTTGTACCACATTCAGACCAGCCGGAGGTCTTTACTGACCAAGAGGACGATGATCCTTAGGTCGAAACCTATATAGCCAAGGATGGCTCTCTGATAACAAAGCGCATCCGTCTCATGGACACTCAGGAATAGGGTGTAAGCCAGGCGGGTATAAGCTGACCCCCTGGTAAGCCGGAAAGGGAAAACCATATAGTAGGTGGATCCTCCCTAGTTACCCGGGACGAACTCATGGAGTTCATGACTAGTTTCAAGGGTGAGATCAAGGATCTTATTACCAAGAGCCGGGCTGGCCCAAGTAAGGGTCAGTCGGCAAGAAAGACACCTCCAGAAAAGAGGAATCCAATCAGGGATAGGCAGCCAACTCCGCATCCAAAGGACAAGGTAGCCGGGACCCTTGACTGGTCAAAGATTCTTCTACCCAAGATGAATACCAAAAGTACCCGCCGGAGTGACCAGCCGGTGGGAATTCAAAAATCAACGGGAGATCATCATCCGCAAGAGGAATCAACATTTGTCTAATTCAGCTTCCATTTCAAGCTTTCTAGACATCGTCAAGAATACATCTGCAGGGAATGCACATTCCTTGCATGAGAGCCATATAAGCAGTAATACCGTCCACTCTGGCCCTCATATGATTGGGAATGTACCGTACGTACCGCCTATGGTCTACGGCCGGATTCTCCTCATTTTATGCAGCCAGCCCTCCTCGGAGGTCAGGCGGCATACATCAATGTCCAGCCACTGGACTAGCAGCTTTGTTTGCTTCGCCTGGGTGAACAACATTCTGCGTTCACCCGGGAATAACCAAGGCGGCACAGCCGGCTAAGGTTAAAAACGTTTTGGTAGGTACTTATGATGGTACCTCTAACCCGCAAGACCACCTTATGGCATACACCAACCTCATGTATTTACAGGGGTTGGACGATGACACTTGGTGTCGGGACTTCCTGGCTACATTGAAGGGCATTGTCAACAATGGTTTGGCAACTTGCCAGCCGGTTCTATTGATAGCTTCAAGAAGCTTGCCTTCTTGTTTGCTTCCAACTTCTCAATGAATATCCCTGGGAAGAAAACAAGTCTTGACTTGAGCACCATTAAGCAGGGAGAGAGAGAAGGATTACGCTCCTACGTCAGGCGGTTCAATCTGACAAGAATTCATATTCAGGGACTATCTGACGAGGTAGCTTTCACAGACTTCTTTAAGGGTCTAAGAGATGGGTCGACTTTTAAGTTTGAGCTTGTCAGAAAAGGGGCATTTACCCTATAGGCGGCCCTGAGGTAGGCGGAAAGCTATATTCAAGCAACCGACCTCTGCTTGCCTGGCAGCCAGTCGGACTCAAAAAAGTCTAATAACCAAAAAGACAGCCGGCCTGCTCAGCCGGCAAAGAAAAAATAAGAGATCAAGAAGAGAAAAGAATTCTGGCGGTGGGTGATTCTGACCAACCGTCCCAGAAGAAAAAGAAAGAGTTTAAACCGTACGTCCCCAAGCACGAGTTTAACAAGGATTGAAACTCCATCCTCATGGTAATCTAGGACCGGCTGTCTCTTGAGAAGCCGAATCCAGTGAAAATTTCCATTTAATCAAGGAACAAAAATAAATTCTACCAATACCATGTGGAAGTTGGCCATGACACCAACATCTTCTTCAGCCTTCAGCGTGCGTTGGACCGGCTAGCTGATTAAGGGATATTTATGTCCTACATTTATATGTCCAAAGGGACTAATAATAAGAACCCGGGGTAGTCATCTAAGACCCCCAAGCCAGCTAGTAGCTCACAAATTGACAAAGAGCCGGTCTACACTATAGCAGGCGGGTTCTCATGTGGTGGCCCAACTATCCGGGGCACCAAGAACCATCCTTATAAGATGGACAATGATGATGACGAGCAGGCATCAGCAAGCTTCACCTTCCAAAATGTTTTGATCATTGAGAAGGACAGGGGAAGCGTCTGTCGCCTGCATAATGACCCGGTTGTCATTGAATGAAAGGTCGCCAATCAGCTGATTAGGCGAATTCTTATTGACACCGGCAGCTCGTCAAACATCATCATTCATAGGTGCTTGCCGAAGCTAAAGTATAAGCCCAGCAGCATGCACCCGATAAACCACCCCCTGGTTGGCTTTGAAAGGGGGATGGTGTATCTAGTCGGTCGGATAGATCTACCTATCCGATTGGAAGAGAAAGGAGAAGGACGACACCTGGTCGTCAAGTTTTTGGTAGTTAAAAAGCTGACCGGCTATAACATTATTTTAGGTCGGCCAACTCTCAATGAGGCCAAGGCGGTAATCATTCCTTACCTCATGTTGATCAAGTATGAGAAGGAAGACGGTTATATTGGTTCCCTGAATGGGGAT